GCTTTTGCTCTTGGACTGGTGAGGCCCTCCACGGGATAATTCTCTAGTCTTCTGCCTGGACTGCTGCCTTGAGGCTTTGGCCTGGCTGTCAAGTCCTCTAAGCTGCATAGGGGGAGGCGGTGGGGAGGGTCTCAGGTTCTGTATGTTCTCCCTATTTTGTGAATGGTTCACCCACCTGCAGTTACACCTAGTAGTTTTTAGTTCAGATACTCTTTCTTTCTCCTTCATCAAACAAAAAGTAAATTTCAGTCTTCTCTTGGGGCAGGATTTTTCCATACCTTGGCTCTGGTCCACTCCCTGCCATGGAAAATGTGCAAATAGCTGGTCCACAAAAAAGGAGTTTATGCAAGCCAGGTTCACGGTGTGTGTCTGTAATCTCAGCATTCTGGGAGTCTGAGGTAAGAGGACTGCAGGTTCAAGCCCAGCCTGGGCCACGTAGTGACTTAGGACGATCCTGTCTCAAAATAAATAAAAAAGGGCTGAGGATATAGCTCCCAGTGAAGGCAATGAGTTCAGTCTCCAGTACTACAAACACTGCCATCAGAAGAACAACTATAAAAAGCAACTCATTCAATAATGTGAAGGTAAAGGAAACAGACAATGACTGCAAGAAGAAGCCAGTGACAAAAACATAAAACAAATGCAGCATAGTGTATGAGTAGATGATGAGTATTCACCAGGAAAATGTGAAAACTGTGAATGAACATGTTTGTGTAAGTGTAAAAAGCAACTCAATGAACAGTCAGGTCTATTAATAGGAACCATCAACTGGAAAGGCAGTATTTGAGGGAAGAGATGGAGAGACAGTAGTAAGAGAAGAGACACAAGCTAGGAGAACCTAGAAAAGAAGTTGAGGGGAAAAAATTAACCAATATAAAAGTTAAGATGAAGTTGGAACAGGTAATAATACGGAAAACACTGTAAGGAACAAAAAAGATGAAGTAAGAAAATGGGCAACGAGGAATAGAAATAAAAAGAATAAGAGAAAAATGATAGACACAAAAGATATGCAAAAGAGAACCAACACGTGGGTAGGATTCTCAAAGAAATAATTCAAAATAATAATACTGAATAAATATTTCAAGTATAATTCAGGGGAAAAAAACCCTTAAATCTGTACATTGAAAAGTCATACTGTGTTCCAGGGAGAATTGACCCATCAAAATCAGTGCCAAAACAGACCAGACCAATGTCATTAGGCTGTAAGGACAAAGAAAGAATCACTGGGAAGACCCGGGGTGCCAGGTGCTGAATGTCATTTATATGAAAAAAAAAATCATTTGGTTTAGACTTCTCTGTAGTATCATTTTTAGTTTTGGTAGCGGGAATCGAGACCTTGAGCTTGCCAGGCAGGCACAGCACTGCTGAGCTAAATCCCCAGCCCCTCCATAGTATCTTTTACCAAAAGGTAGTATAACCTAGCAATTCCTGAAGGAGAGAAGGAGCCAGCCACTCTGAAATACAAGCATTAAACGTATAAAAAGAGCAATGTTAGGTGCCTTGATCATAAAATTTAAGACAATGCCAGAAAGCACAGTAATCATATTATGCAGTGTTAAAATACATCACAATGCACACAAACCCCCCCATGATTTTTTTAAAAAATCAATTTTTATTTTTCTTCTGCCTCGGGCTCTAACAAAGCTTGGCATGGCACTGCAATAGGACCTTGTGGAGGAAAGTGCTAGCAGACAAACTTGTCTGTCAAGATGCGTCCTGGGTGACACCAGCAGAGGGGCTGGATGTGAGCACTGGGTATATTTAGCAGTATAAGTAAGACAGAATGGAGTTACGATGACAGAAAAATGTAAAAGTATTGTATATCCCATTGTAGTTAAATAATTTAGGAACAGTCAGATCAAGGAAGAAATGTAAAATACAATGGTGGGATGCATAGAAAATGATAACCAATAAATACAATATGTCAGAACCTGTGGGAAGTACATAAAGCAATTCTCAGAGGAAAGAAATATATGTGTGTGTATGTACGTGTGTGCATTTACATATATATACAATGAAATTTAAAAATTTTTATAACCAAATTAGAAAAAGAAAAACAAAATAAAGGTCAGAATTAATAAAAACAAACAAAAGATTAGTTGAACTGATATACCCAGAAGATTTGAAAAGAGAAACCATTTGTTTATTTAGTAAAAGTAGGTGCTAACTAAGCTCTTTGAAGTTTGTGTGGCACTTAAGCTTTGAAACAAACACTAAATAAGAAATGTAAATGAAGAATTGAGCCACTAAATACTACCCAAACCACAATGCCTCTTTGGTGATGGTTAGTGATAGTTTCATTAGTTGTAAGCCCTATGAGATGTTTAAGCAAGAAGAAAAGATGTAATTTTGCTCATTTTTCTTAAATTTATAAAGTTTTTCTTTTCTTTTCTTTTTTTTTAACTAGCTTAAATATACTAAAGGTATTTTGCTGCTAGATTTACTGGGTCATCATACTAATATAATCAGACCACAGGATTTGTATTGCCCAGGAAGCTGATATGATCTAAGATACTTCCACCATCCAAAAGCATTTTGCTTACTTTTTAGTTGATTAGAAAATAGGATTAGACAGGTTAATTAATTTTCTATCATTATAATATTTTCTCACATTAAAGTAATGCTCATTGTACAAAGTTCACACAATTCAAATGAGAAAAAAAGGAGAAAAATTAAAAAAACTCACCATGCAAAATAATCTGTTAGAAGTGTATAATTCATATCATGAAATAGGAAAAAAAAGGGCTAAAGGAGTAGGGGAAGTAGGAAGGATAGGGGGAAAGAAAAAAATATGAAATAAGAAGTGAAAAGAAAAAAATATGAGAAAAGGAAAAACATGGAAACGAAGTCTTGTAAATAGGGAAGGATGGAGGGGGGTGAAGGGAGGGCAGGGGAATCAGGGAAAAAATAACCAAGATGCATCATGTAAAGGTACAAGATCCCAGTGATGAATGTAACTGTATTATATACCTAAAATGTACCAAATAACTTAATGGAAAAAAAACCCAAAATGAAATAGTCTTTGTTAGGCTTTTGATGTCTTTTTCTAGTCTGTATATGTGTTTTTCAAAAACAAACTGAAAATTGATCCTATTTTTATGACCTGTTTTTATATAATAAGAGTTTTTATGATCACATTCCCAATGTTAATTACATTCTAGAACATGAGTTTTAATGACTCTTGTGTATTTCATTGTGTGGATGTACCATAATTTATTCAGTCCTGTAGTCTTGGACATCGAAGGACAACTTATTTATGAAGCACTTTGTTTAATTGGCATTTTCCTATATCTTGCTTATGATGAATTTAGTTTGCTTTTTTGAAGTACTCTGTGGAAGTCTCACTGGGGCTGCCTGAGGAGGAGGTGAGCTTTGGTCTTGTCTAGGTGAATTTACTCTCAGAGGCCAGCCTTAAACAGCCTGTCTCATTTTTTGTGGAAGAGCAAGAATGGTCACCATGTGCGTGGACTGTGTCTTCCAAAGCCATTTGAAAGGGTAGTTTTGTGTTCTAATATTTGTTTTAGATTAGGCTGTTGCTGAGATGCTTTGGGGTATTCTAGCACACATGTTAAAAAGGACCTGGAGTATATGTGTTCTAGAAGTTTTTTCCTTTTTTAATTGCCTGATAGAATCCTCGCTTTTGGATAACTAGGCAGGAATATGGTATGGTAGAGATTTTAAACTGGTCTGGTCTGAGAAAGATGCTTTGTCTCAAATCTTATAAAATCTTATGATTTTAGAAAATTATTTCCTTAATTTTACTCAGCCTTCTTTGTTAAACAATATATTATAAAATTCTCACTTTGTCTTCTGTTTATAAAGTGTCTGTCTGACTTCTGATCTGTAGGACTTCACTAATTTTGCCTTAATTATTTGTAATTTGATTGAAACTGGACAAGTTATAGTCTCTAGTGTCTTTTCAAGTGAAGTATTTTCTTCTCTGATAATGAATAGGAAGACTACAAATAAATATCAGGGACAATATATACTCTGTGGATAAATAAAAGAGTTTATAAAAATTCCCAAGCACATTAGATAACTTTTCACATATAAAAGAATAATATACCACTTATTAATAATTCTTTTCTGTTTCTTCCATTGTCTCCTAAGGCTGATCAGATGATGATATAATTAGCTTCCTGAAAGTGATAGAGGTGGAATTTCTCTAAATATCCTCTAATGGAGCCCTTGCTAACCACAAGCCAGTGAGATTCTATTTTATATCCATCTATTGTCGTGTGCATTTTCTGCTGTCCTCACCCTAGATTTTCTGGTGGAGGGCACCACTAAGGCAAATACTAGAAACTGAACCTTAAATTGTACACTGAGGCTAGCTAAGAACAAGTGAGAACATCAAATAGGAGGACAATATGGACCAGGAAGAGTAGTGGCAAAGGTGCCCAGAATACCAAGGGCCAGAAATATTTTGTTATTTTTTAAGAATCCCATGCCTTTATTGTTTGTGTGTGTGTGAGTGTGTGTGTACTAGGGATTGAACTCGGGATGTTATGCTTGTGAAGCAGGTGGCAGAACCACTGAGCTAAATCCCCAGCCCTACCATCATTGTATTTGAATAGGAGTAACATGATTTCGTTGATGTTTTAGAGGGAAAATTGGTATGGTGTGATGGATGAATGAGGGAGGGAAAGTACTGTAAGCCAGTTAGATAACTGTGGCATTTGAATTTTTAAAAATCTTTCCCATTTGGCAGTTCAGTGCAGCTCTCGCCCAAATATGAAGCAATACTTTCACACAGTATTTGTGTCTTAGTGTGTGGTACACTCTGATGTTTTCTGTTCTATAAAGTCTTTCCCATTTACTTATAAAATGTTGATCATGAATCTCTAACTATATGTAACTATATTTAACAACACCTAGTAGATCCAAACTTATGGTTTGAGTAGTACTGACTTCAAAATGCAATGGAAGTAATATTCTGAAAGTTATTTATGTGCTTTTTTCTCTTTTGTCTCCTCAAATGTGTATCATTTACCCCCAAGGCATCCACCTGTCTTGGGGATGACTGGGATTTATTAGAGAAGGGAAGCAAAGGAAAACATCCTAGAGAAGGGAAGCAAAGGAAAACATCCAGTCTCCTGATCTGACATTCACAGGTAGGAATTTACAGCAAGACTGTCAACATTTGTAACAGGGCTTTGTCTTGAATTTGAATGTCTAAATTCACTTATCTACCATTAGGAAGAGAATCACCAGGAAGAGGAGCGGGTAGGGAAGCTCTGTCTTTCCTGAATGGGCTTCCCTGCAGGGCGCACTCTGGAAAGGTGAGAAACCATGTACATTGGGGTACAAAACAGCCAGCCAGCCTGATGGGGCCTCAGAGCCCCTGTAGTCTCTCCAGGGCTGAGATAAGGCCACAGAACTAAAGACTGTCATAGAGAATGTTGGCCAAGGATTGGACAAGGATATGAACAGACCAGGGATTCACTGCTGCAGTTCTGGCACTGTGTGAGGGAGGGCGCCCAGCAGCTGGGTAGACAGAGGGCATTGTTCCGGAGACCCAGAAGTGCCAGTCGGTGTGAGCCCAAGGCGCCCTTTGCCTCCATTTCAGAGGAATGTATGTGATACCCACTCTCCATCCACCCAGATGCTCACTTAGGGAAAGGGGCAGTAGGTAGGAAAGAAGGTCCACTTGACAGGTGGAACATAGTCTAAAAGGGCTAAATAGGCAGTTTAGAAATCCGATTCAACCTTTAGCTGTTTTCTCCTCATCAGTGGCAGGTGGGGCCCTGGGAAGGAAAATGACAACTATCAACTATCAGTAAAATAAAGGCTACATTTTTCCCTCCAGTTTTGAGTAATTACAAGTCAAACACATGATTCTATTGCACATACTCTTGCAATCAAGGTAGTTAAATGGCTGACTCCTAAAACATACAGCAAGAAAAAAAAAAAGACACCCTTCATTTCTTGGGTGGCTTTAATCCCAGAATATTAGTACCATTCACTAACTACATTCTAGCATTTCTCTGTGTGAATTGTCTGTTGAAAATATATCTTCTGAGCTGATATTCAGTGATCCAGGGGTAAGCACTGCACAGATGTCATGGTGACCAACATTTGAATTTATGGCTTTCTGTTTGTTTGGTGCTTGGGATTGAATCCATGGTCTCATACAGGCACTCCTTCTACTGCTGTGTTACACTCCAGGCAAACAACATTTAAATTCTGGCATTTTCCTTTCTCTCTTTTATTCTTTTTCTTTTCTTTTCTTTCCCTCCCTTCCTCCCCACTTCTTTCCTTCCTCCCTCCCTCCCCGTCAACTTTCTTTTTTCAGTGCTGGAGATCTACTCCAGGGCCTCATGTATACTAGGTAAGTGCTCTGTCACTAAGCTACTTCCCCAAGCCTGATATACACATTTTGAGGGAGAAAGTTCCTTCTGGAATAAATGTTTGACTTCATTACAAAATTAGAATAACTTGATTTTTTTTTTTTTTTGAGACAAGGTCTTGAGATGTAGTTCAAGTGGACCTTGAACTCACTTTGTAGCTCAGGCTGCCCTCAATTTGTGGCAGTCCTGCCTCAGCCTCGCTAGTGCTGAGATTACAGGAGTGTGCCTTGAATAACATGCATAACTTTTGAACAGATGCTATAAAAAGGCATCTGTTGATGAAGGCAAAAGAGCTTTTATCAGGTAATTATTTCATGCTTTCAAAAGTATGTTAAGAAAACTTAAATATGGAACAACTTTTAGAAGGAAATCAGGGAAAATACAAGATTTAAAATATGCCACTACCATATTTGCTCTGTAAAAACTTTAAAATGTACCGACAGCACTAACTTTAGTTCTTTAAGCACCTCCAGGCACTCCAGGAAGAATTCTTTTGCAAAGGGCATCACAAGTTGATTTGTTTGATAAAAAGTGAAATTTAGGTATGGGGAATAATGAGGTCAGCCAGTGCGTACTAATTAGAAGTTGAAGAATAAGGCAATGGAAATGAATTTCTATCAATTTTCAAGGGAAATCGCTAAGAAAAGGATTTTAGTTGAGCTGTTTTCGTCCCATTTCTGAGGGTTTCTACCTCAAAAACTCTCTCAAGAAGCAAAAAGTTGTCTACAGATTTAAACACCAAATTGCAAATGGTGAAGGTGAGGTGGATAAGCAGTTATCACCTCAGACCTCATGTGTCATGGAGTTAAAGAAGCAAAGCTTGTCGATATGGTCCCCAAAGAGCCTGGTAGCTTTTCATGGGAACAAATTATCTCCTGGACTCCATGTAGCTACCATATCTTTGAACCTCTTGAAATCAAATTCATTAATGAGTGGAGGAAAGAGGAGCCACAGAAAAAGACAGAGCAGGGAGAGGGAGAAAGAGAGAGAGAGACAGGGAGACAGAGAGAGACAGAGACAGAAAGAGACAGAGAGACAGAGACAGAGACACAGGTGGCAGATGACTCAGAAGTCCAGGTAAAGCAATTCCAACTCCACTTTTGATTATTAGGGTCATCTGTACGTGAGAAAATATGTATGGTAGATCATTTGTTAATCCTACCAGTGCATACATGAGGGATTTCATCCTGCTAACCATGTCTATTAAAATTCCTTAGGTTGGATTCTTTTTCATATGCTATTGAAATAACCTGTGTTTTAATGATTTTTGCCATTCTGAAAACTCTCAGAGTAACAGAAGACAAGACCACAGGTGGAGAAATATAAAGAAAAAAATCTAGTCCAATTGCGATGCTGTCATGATAGCACTTAACTCGTATTTACCTATCAAAACTTTCACTTCCATGTCTCACATACAGACACCAGAGATGAGCGAAATTCAGGAAAAAATCACTATGGAATTTGCACATCTTCCAGTGATCTTTGGGCATCTGTTTTTAAATGACTTCTTTCAAAAGTGCTGATTTCTCGTTTCCATGAAAGCCCTCAATGGGTATTATCCAACAGCGTGTTGATGTCTTAAGCCTTCCTGGACTAAACTTTTGGTTTGAAATAACTGTGTTTTGGATGTGGATAGTTCTGCCAGCTGCACAGTTTCACCATACAGTGGCACATTTTAATCCTGGTAGTTCTTAAAGACAACTATAGTTTAGCAGCTACAGAATTTAATTGTATCTGTACCCTATCATTTGTATCTTTATTGGATGGTGTTTGATACCCGTTAATAGCTTCAGGTGTGACCACCTGGGTCCCCACATCAGCTTGAGGGCAGAGGCCACATCTTGTGGCTCTTAGGAAAGTGCTTTGAGCATCAAAGTTTCCCTGGGAATAAAAGTCATCTCCATAAGTTAATCCATAGTGACAGTTACTTTATTTATTCTTCAAGAATATCTATACGAAGCCAGTGGGTATATGAGGGTTCTAGCTTTTCTCCATAGTCTCTAGTGCAGTGATGGTGAACCTTGTACAACTTGCGGTGATACAAACATCCCGCTGTGGTACACATGCCCCACTGCTCTGTATACTCTTTCCCCGGTCTTGCCCACTGTTAACATCTTGCATTGATGGGTATTTCTTGCAGTTAATGTACAGATATCGATACATTGTTATAGCTATAGCCCATTGTTGTAACTATAGCCTATAGATTTTTACAAAGGTGTATATATACTATACCAGTTTCGCAAGGAATAGTTTCACCATTCTACATATCCCCTGTACTTGAACTCTTCATTTCATTCTCTCTCCATCCAAACCCTTGAGGAGGTGTTTCTCTCCCCTCTAGAATCTTTCATCATTTCCTGTGTGTCTTTGGTTACATGCATTTTGAATACACTGTGTCTGAGCATAATTTTCTTTTTTTTTCTCATTGAGTTTATTGGTACATTTTAGGTATACAGTACAGTTACATTCATCATTGGGATCTTGTACCTTTACATGACAGGTCTTGGTTCTCATTTTTTCCCCATACTCCTGCCCTTCTTTCATCCCCTCCTCCCTTCCCTATTTACAAAATCTTTATTTCCATTTTTTCATTTTCTCATATTTTTCTTTTCCCTTATTTACTTTTCCCTACCCTTCGTCCTACTTCCCACTTCCCCTACACCTTTAGCCCTTTTCTTCCTATTTCACATTGTCACTTGTAACATTAGGATCTTACTTACAATTCTAGTTTTTCACACCAAAGAAACTATTCAGTATTTACACATATGTGACTTATTTATTTCATTTAAGAGTATACCTTGGGCTGGGGATTTAGCTCAGTGGTTTGTTGGCCTGCCTTGCAAGCACAAAGACCCGAGCGAGTTCAATCCCTGGTACCAAAAAAAAAAAAAGAGTATACCTCAATATGCATCCATTTTCCTATGAATGACTCTAATTTCTCATTCTTTATGGCTGAGTAGTATTTCATTTTATAGAAAAACGTCTTCTGAGACGTGGTTTTTCTATAAAATGAAATACTACTAACTGTGCCGCTATAAACATGGGTGCTCATATATCACTGTGGTATGAGTCTTTTAATTCTTTTGGAAAGATACCCAGCAGAGGGATGTTTGGGTCAATGGAACCTCTAGTCCCAGCTCTTTGAGGTATCTCCATATTGATTTCCATAGTGGTTGCACCAGTCTGCACTCCCACCAACAATGGAGAAGGGTTCCTTTCTAAGTGTAATTTTCTTTCTTTCTTTTGGTATTTCACCTTCTTGAGATTCTCTGAGCTTTCTGGATTTATTGATTTAATGCTTATTATTACTTTTGGAAATTTTTCAACTGTTGTTATTTTAAATATTTCTTTTGTCATTTTAAATATTTCTTTTGTCATTTTTTTCTCTTTTCCCTCTGGAATCCCCATTATACATTTTTTATTCCTATTGCAATTCTCCCATTGTTATTAGACATTTTGTTCTTTATATCCTTTTTGTTTTTCACTTTGGGAGTTTTCCATGGACATACACTATTTTCAGTCTCATTTATTCTTTTCTAGGCCAAGTCTATTGCTGAACAGCCAAAATTGTCTTCATTTTTTTGTTAGTGTTGATTTATAGTATTTCCTTTTGATTCTTATAATTTCCAGTTTATGCTTGCCTCACCCATATGATCTTGGATGTTGTCTACTTTTTCCACTGGATCCTGTAGTATGTTCCCGATAGTTATTTAAAATTCCCATCTGATAATTCTAGTATCCACATCATACTGGAGCATGATTCTGATGCTTGTTCTGTCACTTTAGATGCCTTTTCTAGTCTTTTAACATGATTTGTAACTTTTGATTGAAAGTGATATAGAGTGTATCATATCAATTAATAGAAACTGAGGTTAGTAGGCTATTAGGATGAGACTATATGTTTATTCGGCTAGGAGTTAGGCTGTGTTTG